CCAACCTATTTGGGAGAACTTGTGAATATTATTAGCTCTATGATATCTGAAAGCTCTACTGAAACGAACAGGATAGATTTCAGTTTGCTTAAGAGTGTCGGGCTAAAAATTATGACCGCTTACCTTATTCAGGTATTTCAATTTCATAAGAGATCTTTGATTGCTTTGCAGTTTACAATTTATTTTTTAGAAATTTTAGTAATTTTTTAGGCAGCGACGACCTTTTCTTATATTTCGTTTCTTTCGTTTATGGGAGAAAGAGTAGCTGCAGATTTAAGAATCCTTCTTTTTCAACGGTTGCTTGTACAGGTTGTTGCAGCAGTTTAGTTCACGGCTTAGGAGCGTAACTTATTTTTGAGACAAAATTGAGAGTATTTGAAAGATTAGTTTTAGATATGATTTCTGGCGTAATGTAGCTACTGATTAACTTTATTAGGATATTGGTTTTTTTGATGAGCAACGGACGGGTGAGCTCAATGCATGTCTTGGAGCAGACGTTCAAGAATTCAAAAGTTGCTTGAAAATTGTTATATCACAAGGATTACGTACATTGACGCAAGTAATCATTTGCCTTCTGATGATACAAAGTTGTTAAAGATTATGATTTAATGTATTTTATAGAATACTGTTGGTGTTTGATAATAGTCATGCTTTGATGTAGTGAGAGCCATAGTGGTTGATTTCTGTAAAGGTCCTGTAATAGATATTTTACAGGTTGGAGGTAGCATGGTATCGATGTATCTAACTTCATCAAAAATGGCATTGTTAACACTTGCTCTTCTTTCCGGCTTTGTACTTTGTGGATCAATTTTTGGTGCCTTTTTACGCCAAATCAGTTATGCAGCTCAGAGACAAGGTGGTGTTGCCTCGGCTGTTGCCGAAGAGGCATTTGATAATATTCGTACCGTAAGAGCTTTTGCAATGGAGGACGAGGAATTAAGGTTGATTTCTTTTGTATATACGTTCGGAACCATACAGGAAATTTCCGTATTTGATAGTTCAGATTGTTCTCAAATTTATCGTCTGGCTTTATGTAGGAAATCAGAGGTAATTATGGATGAAACAGAGCGGCGGAGGGCACTTCAATTTATTAATTTATTGTTGATTGTTACATATTGATTTAGGTTGTTCACCAATGAGACCACAAAAGCTAGGAAGTTAAACGAGTTTCTTGGAATTGGTATCGGAGTCTTTCAAGGAGCTACAAACCTCTTCTTAAACGGTAGTTTTGTTTATTCAGTTTTTGTTTTTTTTTTGTTTTGCTTTTGTATTTATTAATTTAATTTTTTTAGGCGCAGTTTTAGCAGTCTTGTATGGAGGAGCACACCTAATATCAAGCTCAGAATTGGACCCTGGTGGGTTAATGTCGTTTTTAGCTTCTGCTCAAATGATTCAGAGGTCGTTGGGACAACTCTCTATTGTTTTTGGTCATGCAATAAAAGGGTGGTCTGCGGCAGCAAGAGTGTTCGAAGTCTGTTTTCAGCAGTATCGATGTTCATTTAATTTTATGGCGCTAAATACTTTTATTTGCTTTTGTGTAGTGATAAGTAACTTTATTGCTCTTTCCTTCGTTTCATTTGTCAACCGTAACCTCATATTTTGCTAATTCAGCATGGCGCAACGGTACAAAAAAAATTTGACTGCGGGTAGCCTTTCTGACGTCCGCAACAACAGTCATATTTTTACGTTTTTTTAGTTCATTGAGTATCCTGGTCCTGAAAACTTGACTCATGGCACAACATTTCCACTTTCATCCTTAACTGGAGCTATTCGTTTTGAAAACGTAACATTTGCTTATCCAACTCGACCCAACCAGAATGCTCTTGAAAACCTTACTCTTGAAGTTGCACCTGGCAAAGTACTGGGCATTTGTGGTCCAAGCGGGCAAGGTTAGATTATATCTCGTTAGTAAATGCATCTGCTGGAAACGTGATTGTAAATCTGGATGGAACTAAGTTTTAAGCAATTAATTTAGCTTGCTTCAGGGAAGAGTACTTTTGCTTCGTTATTGGTTCGCTTTTATGAACCTTCAAAAGGAAGAATTCTTCTGGACGGAATTGAATTGAAGGCATTAAATCCGTCTTGGTTACGCCGTTGTGTGATTGGGTTCATTTCACAAGATCCAGTTCTTTTTGCAACAACTATTAAGGAGAATATTCGTTACGGTAAACCTGAAGCGTCTGATTTAGAGGTGCTTTTCTCTTGCTGAAAATTACGCTTTTAGCTGTATGTAAACTTCCGGTTAAATTGATTTATTGATTTTTCTGATTGGACGATGATTTTTCTTCGTATCGCTTAATTGTTTCTAGAGTTTTACTTTAACACTTACTAAATAATGCTCAGAAACGACGCAATAAATTTTTATTTTACTCTATTTTGTATTCATTTTAAATAACCTTCAACACTGTTTCAAAGGATAATTGAACTGGTGTTTAGATCATAGAGGCCGCAAAGCTTGCTAATGCACACGAGTTTATTTCTGACTTCCGAGACGGATATGATACATTGGTAGGAGAACGCGGGGTTACTTTAAGTGGTGGTCAAAAGCAGAGAATAGCTATTGCTAGAGCTTTGCTGAAGAATGCCCCAATTCTTATTCTAGACGAAGCGACCAGCTCATTAGATTACGAGAGTGAACGGCTGGTATAAACTTTACTGAAGCATTTCATCCTGTAAATCAGAATTTTTTAGCGCTCTTGGCTATTATTCTCTATATAAACATTAATTTTGTTATCACACTTTGTTTTTTTTTTTCATTTTTCTTGCTTTTACAATTCGCTCTTCACTCCATTGGTTAACTCACTTTTCATTCGTATGCACTTTAGGTGTCTTCAAGACAGGGATTGAAGAAATGTATTAATAGTTTACGGGAGTTTTAATTTTTATTCAAGAAAAAAAAATGAGTCGCTAGCAGGTACTGGATAATAGACAGTCATGGAAGCACGTCTGCACGGTTCAGCCTTATCAGGCTTTTGTATAAGCCGCTGCCAAATTAATTCTTGCGATGAAAAATGCCTGCTTCGACTTTTCGTTTTGATTCAAGAACTTCTCATTTTCTCTTTGTAGAGCCTTGGCATTGTGCGAATCTTGTCTTGAACTAAAAAATTCTCTAGCGCTATCAATCAGAAACATTCTTTACCTTTCTATTAGTTGCAGAGTTTCTACCATTTTTTTCCTCTGATATTCTTTGTCTTTTTGAGAGGGTAATATCGTTTTTCTTGAGAAATTTGGGTTTTAGAACCATTTTCTCTTTTTTTTCAATCCTTATTTCTTTTCAATCGAACTTCTGTAATCCCTTAACTGTTTTAGGTTCAAGAAGCTTTGCAAAATGTTATGAGGGATCGTACTGTAATTCTTATCGCACATCGATTGAGCACAATTAGAAACGCCGATTATATAGCAGTCATGAAATATGGTCAAGTAGCTGAGGTCAGTAAATCATAATAGTTACTCAAGGTCTGAGATGAAGTAGGATAGGGAATAGAAATAGTTCTTAAAATTATTTTTTTAAAGGATCTTCATTTTAATTGTATTCAAAATATTAAAAGCGAGAGAGGAGTAATTCATCAATTAGTATAATTAAAAAAAAACAAAAAATTATTTCTTGTCTCACGGTTTTTCAATTTATTCCGTGCCAGTTTCAGGTAGAAATTTTGAGTCTTTTCTATATTTTGAATATCGTTTGTTTTAAATAGTTTTTTGAAATTTAATTATGGCTTTTAAGATGATGGTTGAAGGAGAATGGTTTGGATTAAAAGTTTAGATGGAGAAGAGGATGTGGTTTTTGACAGTGGTGGTTACTGAGTGACTCAGTTTATTGAGTTAAAGCTTCGTGGTTCGCTCTCCGTTACTAAAGTTATCCTTTTGAGAAAAAATGGTTCGAAAACTTTTCAAAGGGTTGCAACTTCATTTTGATAAAAGTCAAGATACGATTTTTAGTTAATTGCAGTCACGCTGTTTGATACAGTTTCAGAAGTATTTTATAGAGGGAGCGGATTTTGAAATGCTTTTGAAAAATTTTCGGTTTTTATTGAAAGTCATTTAAAATTTTGTAACAAATTTATTGTTGTTTTTTCATGTGTTTTTTTTTCTCATTTGTTGTCAAGTTTTTTTTAGAAAGGAACACACGAAGAACTGCTGAGACGGAGAGGTATTTACTACAAATTAATTAATACACAGGAAATGAACAATAACGAGACTTAAGAAGAGTTGCTTCACAGGATTTATAAATTACTAATTTTCACTTGAGATTCTTCACTGTTACAATTTGTTTCATCCACTGGTCAATTTCTGAAGTTGTTTCTGTGAAAATTTTTTACTTTTGGCTTGTATTCTGTTTCTTATCCGGGTTAATCAGTTTTATGCAGTGCTCGTAGGGGTAATAAAACATGCTCATTTTTGTGCAGTGGAGAACAATAAAATTATGTTTGTTTGCTGTGAAGTCGAATTAAATCTTTCTTCTGAGGAACGATTCACTGAGAATTGGGCTGTGTGCTCTATGGAATTTGCCGTTTACTTTTATTTTTTTTTTTT